TACATAACCCCCTCCAGTTCCATCCATATTGTTGCAAATGGCAAGATTTCATCTTATATTTTTTTAGAGTTGTGTGGTATTCTATTGTAAATAGGAAACAACCCAATTGAAAAATGGGAAGAGAGCTCAATAGACACGTCTCCAAAGAAGCCACACAGATAGTCATCAGGCACATGAGAAAATGTTCATCGTCACTTACCATCAAGGAGATGCAAATCAAAACCACAGTGAGATACCCCACAACACCCATTAGAATGACCCATATCAGAAAGACCAGAAACAAGAGCTGACAAGGATGTGGAGCTAAAGGAACCCTCGGACACTATTGATGGGGACATAGACTGGTCCAGCCTATGGGAAAACAGAATGGAGGTTCCTCAAATATTAAAAATAGATCTACCATATGACCCAGCAATTTCATTCCTAGGAATCTACCTAAAATATGTAAAAACACTGATTCAAAGGTTATGTGCACCCTTGTGTTCACAGCAGCACTATTTACACAAGCCACACTATGGGAAACAACCTAAGTGCCCCACGAAAGATGAGTATATAAAGGTGGAAATTTAAATTTAAATAAAGTAAATAAAGGTGGAAATTTGGAAATCTAAAAGTAACTGCTAATTAACTAATATTTCAAAGAAAATAACCATAATTGAATTTAAAGTCTACTTACAGCTGAATGACAATGGGACATATCAAAACTTGTAGGATACAGCAAAGTCACATTTTTAAAAATTAGAGATTTGGGGACTCTTTTTGCCACTGATCCAACAGACAGATAAAGGGGTTATTATCTTGACTGGGGTGTTTGATCCCCATTAAATTGGAGGGGGAAAGACAACAACCTTGTTGCTGTACGAAAGAGGCAGAGATATTTGGAACTTGGGAGATTTACATGGGTGCTGCTTGGTATTTCCTTACTGAAGGAACAGGGTGGGCAACTTAGGCTTTTTTTTACCTCCCACCACCAGCCTCTGCAGCCACCACCTGCAGCTTTGTTTTCCTCTGAGGTTTCATTACCCACACATGATACCTTGTTATTGTAAGAAAGTGCTTAGGAGCTGAGTACAGCATGCACACCTATAAATACAGGCTCCTGGGCTGAGAAGCTGGTGATCACAGGGACTAGGAGGCTTGGAAGCTGCCTGCCTGCCTGCCTCCCTGCTGGTCTGCCTGTATCTGGTCCCCTGCTTCAGCATTAAAGCCATGTCGACTATACCTAAGGCTCCAAGATTCTTTTTCTGTTTACCCAAATCAACTGTGAACCTGCCTGGCCGGGGACAGTTGCACAACTCTTACCCAGAAGTTTTGGTCAATGAAAGGCTAAGGAAACCCAACATGACAAGACTCCTAAGAATGCAGATGCCATAGGAATGGAGTCTCGGGTCACTCCACCAAATCAAGACCCCTAGGAGGTCTGTGTTGCAGAGTAAGGGAATGTGAAATGACTGGTGGAAGGAAGGAGCGTGCACGACCAGCTTAGGACAGGTGTATGTTATTCAATCCATGGTGCCTCCCACTACTCTATACAAGGAGTACCTGTGCAGCTAATGGCTCAGGTGTCAGGAGGGAACATATCTGCCTTGATATTCTCCTACCAGCTCAGTGTAGATGATGGATTTTTCCAGATTCTCTGTCCAGGAAGTGTGGAATTTTCATTTAGATGAGGGACAAGGTGAGGAGAAATGGGTGGACAACTTCATCTACACGCTTCACCATCGCACCCTGTCCTGGAAAGCAGGCCTGTGTGGATTATAACAGCCTGTTAGATTTAGCAGGAGATCTGGACGATCAGGAGGAGGAACCAGGGGGAGGAGAGGGGATTTGTTTCTCTGATTCCCTCCCTGCAAGGTTATTTTAAGCTGACTGTGTCCAACAACCAAAGGTCACTGGTTTTCTCGAGAAGGCTCTCTCCTTCCAGGTTTTGTAAACACTTCCTCTCTTTATTCCTGTGGACCCAGGAATGTAATAGGTCCACAGTCCTAAGTCTGGGATATTAAACTATTCTTTGTGGTTTTCCTACATACTGCCTCCATCTTTATAAGTACTTGCTTTATTAAACGTACCATGAATTACTCTCATCTGAGGATGCTGTGGATTTCCCAGTTAGACATTGGATCGTCAGGAACAAGGTTCTCCAGTGAAGAAGCAGCTTTGCCATTGATTTTCTTCTTAATGATTCCTCCAGGGGTCTAACCCATTAACATGCATTTCTACCTAAGAAATCTGTTTCTATTAACTACAAATTGCTTAAGTCCAATAATTAAGTGATCACGAATGTTCACCGTATCATCGGGGTGAATATTTTCATCTGTCTCCATTATCTCATCACTGTCATCATGATTTCGCCAGTCAAGTCTATTAAAGCCACTTGAGCAATTTTACCACCACACAAACAAGAAGGATAAATGAATTCAGCTCCACTAAGTTGGATCTACTTTTGGCAAACAAGCATTTTGTGCAAGAATGAAGCTTTATTTCATCACCTTCTCATCCATCACAAAAAAGACTTGAAAACCTTAGGGAACGGGTCATTTTTCAAACATCATGGTACACAGTGGGTGTCAAGCTTTTGTGATTGTTGATTTATCAGCATCATGCTGGAATGTGTGCTGATGATATTCTTAAGACCAAACTCTTTGGGGAGTTATGGCGTGGTTGGAGCACGGACGCTGATGAAAGGGTTTAACTTTGCTCTAAAATGCTTAGTACCCAGGCTGTGCCATGCGGGTCCCTCTGGGGAGAAATAAAAGCGAACACCACATTTCACAAGAAGTTCAGGAAGGGGTGTGCACTTCCAGCAATTACGGTAACATCTGAGAGTTGCTTTTTCCCAGGCTAGCATTAGTTTGCTTTATTGGTGGGAAGCGTATTTGCTCTAGTGACCCTGGTATATTCTTTGCATCATAACGGGCAGTAAATGACATACACTTTTCTAAGATGGTAGATGCCGGCTTTTCCCATTTAGCTCCAAGTGTGTTCTGTGTCCCTGGAGCTCTGGACACACAGTCATTCCCTTCTCAGTCATTTCGCAGAGCACTTTGATTCTTGCTGTCAATTGATCAGCATCAAAGTTTTCATCGGGTAACCCACTGACAGGCTGGCAGCGCAACCCACTGATGCTATTTTCAGCAGCTTCATTGACAGCAAAAAGGTTTGCATTTTTGATTTTGACATTTTCTTACTGCAATTATAAAGTCACAAAGTCTTTTGTTTTATGCAGTACATACTTATGACATACTAATCTCCGAGACTTTCTATGCTAGGAGGCTGCTCTGCTCCACCCCACTCCACGGATCAGTCCTTCAAATCTTTCCCCGAGTCCTCCCGGGCAGCCAGCCTAAATTCTCCCCTCGGACACCGGTTTCCTCGCGCATGGGCCTCTAATAAAGCCTTGCCTGGCTCCACTACACCTGACGCTTTCTGGTGAATTCCTCCTCCAGGGGCAAAGGACCCGCGTTTGGGCTGGGGCCTGTAAGGGCACCTCCACCACGTGCAATCAGGAGAAGGCACAGCAGCACGCCGTGCTCACGTGCCACAAGCGCAGTGTTCTCCCTGGGGTTCCGTCCGCATTCTTGAATAAATGCTCCTCCCTTTGCTGCTGCTCTCGAACAAATTCCAGACACACTAAATGCTTGCTTTCAGGTACTTCCCGTCAGTGGAGAAAGGGCCCGCCAAGCTCCTCACACCACCATCCTGGTCACATTTTCACAAGTCAGAAGAGAAAGTCTCCAGTTCATAGAAGGTTCCATCCTTCTGCTTCTCTTTCCTCCTCAGTGTGCCACAGGCCTCCCCACCTAATCCCCGACGCGCAGTGGAAACCACCAAGGCTGAGACCCAGGTCTGCGCTCCCCTCTGCAGAGCAGAAGAGGGCAGAGGAAGCCCCGGCCACACAGGGGGCTTGTGGAGGGGAAATGAAAATTATCAGGATTTTTCCGCCCTCCCGCCATTAGCATTAATGACAGACCCCTGCGGTGCTACACGTGTGCCTGATGGCGGGCACCGGGAGTAGGGGGTGGGCGTGCATAGGTGGGTGCACCTGGGCCAAGAGACGGGGCATATAGGGGTGGCGTCACGGGCATGCCGGGAGCAACAGCAGAGAGAGCAGAGAAGCAGAGACCATGAGGGAACGCAGAGAGCCCAGAGAAGTGAGGATTCGCGGGGGGCTGCCAGCGTCCTGGCCCTGCGGCCCCCCTGCCTGCTGCGCCCCAGGCTGCTGCACTACAAATGGTATACAAAGCTCAATTAGAGCCCGAAAAAGCCACCGCGGGCTCACTCGCCTTTACGCGTCTGCCTGGATCATAGAGAACCTGCTCTGTGCCTTGCTGGTGCTGCAGCTTGGCATGGGCATGACCCTCGAGGGCCCTGGGTGTGGACTGTATCTGAGACAGGCAGTCCCAGCAAAGGGGGCAATGGGCGAATGGATTAGAGGCCCAAAGTTGGGGGGCTCCTAGATAGCCAGGACCCCAGTTGACACCCATTAAAGGATATTCTCCGTAGGGAAGCGAAACGCTGCCATCCCAACAGATCTTTCTGGCAAAAAGTGGATTTCAGGGGAGCAACTCTGCAGGCTGGGGAGAGGGTGCCTCTGAAAGAGACATTTTTCTGTAAACTCTTTAAGGGTCTGGAACAGGAAGAACCAATTTTTCAGCGCAGGCAGAACTCGTTCTGCACACTTCCCTGTACTGACCCTCCCAGCAACCTCCCAAGCTCACCCTCCTCTCCCCCCACAAACTCCGTCTGTGTTGATGAGGCTGTTGAAGGTGACATCAAGGCCACCAGGCCAGGTCACCCCATCCTGCTGGGTCTCCCCCACATACCCAGGAGGTTTGCAGGTTATTATTAAAGTTTGTTTTTACTTTTATCAATCTGTCTGAAGCTTGCTTGCTTATTGCCAGCCTAGAAAAGCCCAGAGGGGTAAGGGATGGTTGCCTTTGCACCCGGCAAGCCCCTCCTCTCTTCCCTCAAAAGACATTATCTTAAAAAGTCTGACCCTTGACATGAAATGGTTTATTTAAGTGAGAACCAGGCACGGACGCTGACGGGACAGCCCTGCAGTCCATCAGATTCAGGACCATGAAGGCAGCCCCTTGCCAGCTGCTCCAGGCCCTCATCTCTTCCGGGGCTGAAGTTTCCTGGCCAGTGTCCCCTCATAGCCCAGGGGCATCGTGGGCTCAGGGGGCTGTGTTGTAGACCCTGTAGTCGTCTCTCTGGGTGACATGCAGCTTCCAGGGGAAGAGGCGCTTCTGTGTGGGGAGATGCTGGGCCTGCCTCACCATGAGGCTCACATCCTCATCCGACAGCAGCCGAACCAGATCCCCCTCGGCGTCCCGGTAGTTCAGGGCGATGTCCTCTCTCTGGAACTCCCGCCTGGGGGGTTGAGGGGAAGGCAGGGTGAACGAAAGGCCCCTCAGCCTTGGGCCTCAACGTGGGGCCGGGACAGGGGGCTTAGGGCCTGAATGGAAGAATTCAGAAAAGGTCAGAACTTGACTTGGGCCTCCATGGCCACAAGGTGAGCCTCCCAGGAACAAATGCAGAAACAGACTCTGGGGGGGAGGGGGTGCTCAGAATAAACCAGTGTCCCAGCCTGGAATGTCTCCCGTTACTGTGGGCTGAAGGTCTAAGAACTGTTGTGGGGAGGAGGAGCCAGCCTCAGCCTGGCCGGGCGCAGCAAGGCCTGCGCGGCCCCTGAGGAGAGCTCGTGGAGGCTCGGAGGGTGCGATGGGTGCAGGGAGCCGGCATTCCTACAGCTCTCTATGGGTCATTAGCAAAATGGCCCAGAAGCCTGACAGCTGTGCCAGCACTGCGATCCCCAGAGTCTACTGCTAGGAAATCATCTTAAGAAAACCACTGGGCAAGTCATCAAATATGTTACCCAAAATAGTCTGTAGTAGAAAAAAGTGGGAGATAAACTGTGTGATGTCTCTGCATCCCCCGGGGCTAACAAGGGTTGCTGGGATCTACCTTGTCAGGGGGACGGTGGGGAAAACCAGAAGGCAACAGATGCAGAATGTCTAGCGCTTAAGCACTCTGTGTCCCTCCTCTGCTTCTCCAGGCCCTGACCCCTCTGCCTCCCACTGCAGCGCCTCACCTCATGAGCGCCAGCAGGTCCTTGAATAGTGGGGTGCTTTTGAGGTCTTCCTCCACTGCAATGTCCCTATGGGAACAAGAGGCCAGGGTGAGGAGGCATCAGGCCCGAAGGGGCGCAAGAATGAGGCTAGCCAGGCCATGCTGGACCTGGACCTCTTGCTGTCATGGCTTCTCTGCAGGTGAGGGGCAGCCGCTGCAGGAGTGTGGGTGTGTGCGGGGTAGGGGGGATGTGTGTGCGCGCACGCGGGAGCTGGGAGTTGACATGCCATCTAGTTTGGGTCTCTGGGGCAAGGTGGGTCATGGGGGGCAGGGAATGGCCAGGAGTGTGGCAGGACGGGAGGCCCCTCCCTCCTGCAGCCACACACTTGATGGTGCTGATGGTGTCCTCGTAGTAGTAGCAGCGCAGCCAGTTGGTGGGGTCGTCTTCCTCCGGGAAGTCCTTGAGGATCTTCACGAAGGACAGGGGGAAGATGCCCGTGGTTCCCCGGACAGTGCCCTGAGGAGGACAGGAAGGCTGACCTCGGGGTGGGAGGAAAGGATGCAGGGTTCTCCAGGCCCTCTTTAATGATGCGAAAAGGCGGATGAGGTCTCTTAGGTAGAGGGAGGAGAAAAAAGCAAGCCAGGCCACGAAGCTGTTCACCCCAAGAACAGATAAAGGCCTGAATCTGTCTCGGAAGAGACTCTCGTCTCTCACTCACTCCTCACTCATCCCAAGCCTCGCCCAGCACCTGCTCTGTGCCAGCTCTGGCCGCTCAGAAAGGACGTGGTCCTCGCACACCCCCAGGGAACTTCCACTATGGGGAGGTGACAGCCCACGGCAGGTAAGTAGGTGAACTTCCTTTTCCCCTGGGTGGGAGAGGTTAATGGAGAAAACAGAGAGGGAGGAAGCTCACACTTTCATCATTTTGCTGACACCACCTGCTCGAGACCAGCAATCTGCGCATCTCGGGCCAAGACCCAGCCTCGCTTCTGCCCACAGGTTTTCTTCATCTTCATCTTCACAGCCCTCCAGAAGACAGTATTCTTGTCCCATTTTACAGACACATAAACTGAGGCTTGAAGCAGCACCTTCACCCTCCCCTGGCCCCTCCCCCCATCTGAGGTCATAGCTGGCCACATACTGACACAGAACTTTCCAGAAAATAGGAAGCAGCAAACACTTCCTGTTTCTGCACAGTGACCCAGCATCAGGCAGCAATTGAGTACTGAGACAGCTCCGGGCAAGGAGGGGGCTGGTGGCGGGTGTGGAGAAATCAAAACCACAAAGTCGGCAAGCCCAGGGGTCCCTGCTCCACACAGGGACTCCCTCCCTCAGTGGTCCTGAACAGACTCACTCCCCCACCCCCAGCCCACAAACTCCCTCAGGCTCCCTCTCCAAGAGCCCCGAGCAAAAGGCATCTTGTTTGAAAACCACAAAGGCTGGCAGCCAGTGACCTCCCATCTCCACTCACAAGTCCTACGGAACCCTTGCCTGCGCCACACGCTCGTCACCACACGCGCACGCGCGCGCCTGTGTGTGTGTGTGTGTGTGTGTGTGTGTGTGTGTGCAGGGACAAAGCGTGAACAGGACAGGCAGACTGTGGCTCCAGAGTCTCACGGAGCCCTCCCAGCACCCGGCTAACGGCCACCTGGCACCCAGGCTCTACCACCCAGCCCTGAGCAGCCATGCCCCCCTTCAATCTTCCCAGAACCCTATGAAGCAACTGCCCTCACTATCGCCATTTGCAGAAAAGGAAACTACCCAGTTGAGCAACTTTCCCAAGGCCACAAAGCTGCTTCAAAACAAAGCTGTGATGTAACTGCAGACTCCAGGGCTCTTACTGCTGCCCATGAGACCAGCAGCCCAAATCCAGCCCGTGGGTTTCGGCCCAGTGGCCTTGCCCCTGGCCCCAGCCAGAAGTCTCACATGCTTGATGCTGCAGCTGCAGGGCTGATACTGACATCTTGTGGGTGGAGGCCGAGGTCGCTGCTAAACACCCATGATGCCCCCATGGGACCCCACAACAAAGAGCTGCCCAGCCCCAGGACTGCTACTGAATGAATGGGCTGAGCCCAGCACAGGCTGAGCAGCCAGACCAAGAAACTGCCTTCAGGTTCCAGTGAAGACTAACTGATGTGCCCCAAGTGACTGCTTTTGGGGTCAGAACCAAAGGCAAGTGAGGTTCCAGAATCTTCTATTCACATACCTACCACCCTAGTGGTTATGTCTCCTCATAGTCCCCCCATCACCTGCCCAGATGTCCAGGATCACCCTCATCAGTGTCTCTTCCTCTGGTTCTCTGATCCCCCACCAGACTCAGTGACCTCACCTCCAACTTATCTCCAACTCCACCTCCATACTCACCTCCATACTCACCTCCAACCCCACCTCCATCTGCACCTCCAACCCACCTCCATACTCACCTCCAACCCCACCTCCATCTGCACCTCCAACCCACCTTCATACTCACCTCCAACCTCACCTCCATCTGCACCTCCAACCCTTCCTCCATACTCACCTCCAACCCACCTCCATACTCACCTCCACCCACCTCCATCTGCACCTCCATCCTCACCTCCATCTGCACCTCCAACCCACCTCCATACTCACCTCCACCCACCTCCATCTGCACCTCCATCCTCACCTCCATCTGCACCTCCAACCCACCTCCATACTCACCTCCACCCACCTCCATCTGCACCTCCAACCTCACCTCCATCTGCACCTCCAACCCACCTCCATACTCACCTCCACCCACCTCCATCTGCACCTCCATCCTTGGCTCCCCCCCAACCATCACTCTCACCGCCATCCTCATCCCCGACCTTGACTCCATTCTCCTCTCGCTCACCTCCAACCTTACCTCCAGCCAGTCTTTATTGATCCGACTGAGCAGGAAGATCACATCTCCAACTTTGAAACTCAGCTCCAATTTGCTGTTCCCAGTGAAGTCAAACAGCGCCTGGGAGAGAGTGGAGCAGGAGGGAGGGAGGAAACGTTAGCTGGGTTCCCACGAAAGTGCTTCACGTGCCAGGGCCCATTTAACAGGTGAGAAAACAGGCTCAGGGAGGGTGAGTGACTGTCTGAGCTCACACCATTCACTGGGAGAGGAGCTGGGATTAGAACCCAGGTCCTCCTGACTCCAGAATGAGTCCTCTGCCTAGATTGGCAGGATGAGCATGGGGAGGGAAGGGTCCAAACTCTCCTGGGGCTCCCTGTGGGGCCTCTGGCTCTCCCATAAGCTCCAGCATGTGGAAGTGCTGGCTGCACTGGTGTTGAAATGCCCATTTCCAAGTGTGTGTCCCTAGGGGGCCATGAGCTCCTCGAAGGCAGGGCTTTGAGGCAACTGAGACTTCGGAACCAAGGCGGGGATGGCCAGGCGGAGGCTGAGTGAATGGCAGGGAGCATTCCTGGTGCGTGTCACATCCCCTCCCCTCATCCAGCTGGGGGCCGGGGGACCCTTCTCCCTGACCCGGGCCATCCCGGCACACAGAGGGCCCAGCAGGAGGGCCCCGGCGGCCGCAGGTGGAGCCAGGCTGCTGCCGTGGTGTGAGGGAGGAGGCCCGGACCGGCGGGAGTACCTCTGCGCGAGGAGCTGCCAAGCGGTCCAAGGGGGCACCTTGCCGGGACTGGCTTTTGCTGTGGGGAGAGAAGAGTCTGGTGGGCACCCAAGTCCTCTCCAGCTGCGCTCCCTGCGTCTTTGCCCAGAGGAGACTGCCCACCCCCACCCAGGGGTGGGAAAGGCAGGAAGGGAGAGGACATCAAAAATGCAGCTTGCACACTAGCCCTGGCTCCCAGCACCCCTCAGCGGGACTGAACCCCTCCTTGGTAGGCAGGAGGCAGAGGCTTGCGGAAGACGTGGGAGGAAGAGACATCCCAGCTTGGCGCCTTCCCTTGTCAAGCAGTTCACATCTGTTCTTCTTTCCCCAACTCTATTTTTCCAGCTGAGGACAGGCGTGGAGAGGAGACTGGCCTGCTCCAGGGCGCAGGGCTGCCATGGGCATAGCTGGAATCCTGCCCAAACCCCAGAGCCGCCTGGACGCACAGGGGTGGCGACCAGGCGCCAAAGGACTGTCATAACACAGGCCGGAGGAAGGGTCAGCACCTCTGCCCCTGGACTCCTCAGCAGCGGCCCTATCTCGGGAAGCACACCTTCTTTCGGAGATTGGCCTTTCAAAGAATATTTCCTGCTGGGGAAGGGCCTGGAGGCAGCGCCTCGCTTCTTCGGAATTAGGGAGTGGGCAGCAGCGCCCCCTGGTGGCCAGTGTGAACGAAAACTAACCAGGGACCTGGCACCCCAGGACCCCTGGGGATGTCAGTGGATAGAGTGACTCCTGCCTCTTCTTCCTGCTCCCCACTCTCTCCAGGCATCCAGAACTCTCAGGCCCAGCCCAGTTGTGCTTGTGACCGAGCCCACTCCATCAATGTCCCCTGTCTGGCCTCCAGGTTTTCTGGTCACTCCCATGGAAACACACCCACCTCTGTCCCGCCAAGCCCTGCACTAGATTTTCCAGGCTCATCTCTGAAGCAGAGCCATGCTGGAGGGCTCAGGGGTAGAACTCCTGGTCGTGCATCCTTTTCATCCAAGGGAGAGTTGCCTGGGCCTCCAGGATGGAAGTCTGCTTGGGAAGATGCCCAGGGCTCCCGCCCTAGAGACCCGCACTTACACTTTCCGGGTGTGGGGGCGCAGCCTGCGGAGCGCCTGCGGCACCTGCTCGGAGTCATAGGGTGACTGGTAGAAGAAGATCCGGACGTCCTCGTCCATCAGCACCCAGACAGGCAGGCTGAGGAGGTCCTGCATTTCGGGGACAAGGCAGGGTGGGAGGGCAGTCAGAAGAGAGGTTGGGGGCCCAGACCTGGCTGCTCCGTCCCCACCCCCACGCTGGCCTGTCTCTCCACTTATGTCTCTGCCTGACAACAGAAGCAAGATGTATTTTAGCAACCTCAGTAACATTTCACAAGCTTTGTTCCTGGGTTCAAGGTCAGGGGGGACCATCTGGCTTGAGAAGGTCATTTGGAAAAGATCTAAAGATTTCTAGACCCAACGTGGTGATGAGAGGTCATACTCCGGGCCACCCTGCCTCCATTTCCCCAGAACCTGGGAGTTAGGGTCAGAGAGGTGAAGGGACTTGCCCAAGGTCACACAGTCCAGCAAGGGACCCAGAGCGGGCACCTGCCACCAAGGCCCATGCCTTAGCTCGAAGTGAGAGAAAGTGGGGAAGGATCCCCCAAATAACCCAAATGAACAGCAATTCATGGTATTACGGCCTAAAAAACTTCCCAGTGCCTTATTCCAAATCAGAGTTGGGGAAACTGAGGCTCAAAGATGGAAGCAACTGGCCCATGTGGCAAAGCGAGGCAGCAGTGGGGCGGGGACTCTCATAGGATCCCAGGCTGGTCTCACCCCCGTGGAGCCAAGGCTGTGAGGGTGTGGGGGCGCGGGTCTCAGCAGGTCTGGAGCTCAGGTCAGGAGCACCGTGGCGGGCTGGGGCTGTAGCCACTGAGCTCCAGGCCCCTTGAGGAATCCTGAGGACGGGAGTCAGCCCTGCCACCCCCCTGCTGCTCGCTCCACTTAGGTTCTGGGGGCAACTCCAGTTTACAAAGCACTTTCCTGCCCTTTTCTCAATAGATCCCAGTCTCACCAGTGACACAGAGCTGGAGGCACCACCCCACTTCACAGAGGAGAAAGCCAAGGTCTAGAAAGGGCAGAAAACTCTCCCCAAACCACCAGAGTAGACTCTGAGACTCCTGCTTCTTCAGCGCTGAGAGTAGACCAGGAGGGGGAGCCCCAGTCTGTGAGCTCGCCTGAGGCCCTGAGAGGCCCTGCTGCCTCCTCCCCCAGGGCCCTGCAGATACTTCCTATTTGTCCCCCTTAACCAGGACCTCGGGTGTGGCACACAGGACATGGGGGCAGGAGACCCAGCTTCATGCTCCAGCGCCACACCCGGGGAAGATGCTTCTCCCTAAAGGTCTCCCCAGGAGCCCAGCCCCACCTGCTGCTACCTTCATGTAGGCGTTGAGGACCGGTATCCGCGACTCCGCGATCTCCTGCTTCACACCCACGTAGACTTTGGCTGGGGAGAGGCAAAGCGCCTGTGAGGAGCCTGACCGGGAGCGCGGGCCCTGGCGGCCCCCCAGGCCAGGATCCCGGCCAGAGCCCCTCCCCGTCCAGCACAAAGGGCCGCTCTGGGCTGCCCCTCCATCCAGCCTGTTGGGGGGGCATCAGGGAATGGCCAGCGTCCTGCCCACGCGGGCGGGTTGCACCGAAGCTGCAGAGAAGGGTTGACCCAGGGGGATGACGATTCTCACAAGGAAGAAAGAACCCGGCCCACGGGCTGAGGCCCTGCCGCAGTGGAGGCGGATCCACGTCATGTGCTGACACGTGAGGACACATGCGGCGGCCGCATGTGGAGGGGGGGCCCCGAGGAACACAGGGACAGCTGTCGGGGAACAGCCCAAGAGAGAACAGGGCGGAGACCAGGGGCTCCGGAGGTCAGGGCAGGGGCTGGCCTAGGGCAGGGCAGACCCTCTTAGACCATCCTCCCTGGCAGCAGGCAGGGCTGGGGCAGGGCAAGCCGGGCAGAGCCAGGCCTGGGAGAAACAGATAAGGGGGAGTCACTGGGGCAGAGTCGGGTCCTGGAGATGCTGTTGCTGAGGAGAGAGCCTGGAGGTGGCACGGGAGCTTGAAGGGAGGTGCAGAGGGCAGAGCGCAGAGCGCACCCGGGGCTCACCCCCATCACCCACCCCCTGAGTGTTTCTCCTGCAGGCCTCAAGTGGGCGGGTGCTGAGAAGCCAAGGGGTGTGCTGGGATGCAACTAGGAGGCAGGGGCGCTGGGATGTGTGGAAGCAGAGCTGTGACACTCGTGGCCTAGCAGAGCAGGGACGGGGGTGTGGGTGGCGGAAACAGGGTGGCTGGGAAGGTCACGGGGCACAGGGTCGAGGGTTGTGAGGCCTGACTGTCAGGGCTGGTAGCTGGACTGCCAGGAGGGGGCCCTGGACCAAGGGAACAGTCTCACGGGCTGAAACAGGACAAGGGACAAGTGTCGGGTGCTAGATGGGGGGGGCAGGGCAAGGGAAGGAGGCAACCCGGCTACCTGGAAGGGTGGGCAGGGTGCAGGTGAAGGGGCTCATCTTGTTCTCGGGCCCGAAGCGCTCCTCCAGCTTGCTGTGCAGGGCGTAGAACTGGCGGTAGCGGCGGTAGATGAGGTACTTGGAGCCCCCTTTAGTCTTCACCTCGATGACAAAGACCTGGAGAACAGAGGCCAGAGGCCTGGGGACGGGGCTCGGAGGTCAGGGGTAGAAGGTAGATTTGGGGGGATGGGAGTCTGAGGGCCCAGGGTTAGAGCAGGGTGGATCACCCTCAGTATTACCTCTGGGCCAGATAATGGTTTACTGGGGGGCTGCCCCGTGCAATGTGGGATGTGAAGCAGCACCCCAGGACTCTACCCTCTAGATGTCAGGAGGACCCCTGGCCCCAGCTATAACATCCCAGGGTTCCCTAGAGATCAAAATCGCCCATTAGGAGCCACCAGGATCAAAGTTAAGAGATGAAGTTGAAGGGTCAGAGGTCAGAAAGGTACAGAAGTCGGGTGGGTGGGGTTTCAGAGGTGGGAGCAAAGGCCCGGGCTCTCTCTTACGAAGTGGCTGGTGAAGCCTCTTTTCTCCTGGGTGTCGGCGATGTTGGCTGAGATGGCGACATCGTCAGGAAGTTGTTCAAAGTCGCTGAGGGCGGTGGAGGGGAGAAATCGTGGTTATTGCTCATGCGCTGGATGGGTGTGGTGTGGGTGTGTGGTGGGGTGAGGGGCAGTGTGCAAAGTGAGCCATGTAGGTATCATGTCCCTTGTTTGACACCCCTTCCCATGCAGGCCCAGGTAGACAGACCAGCCTTGAGGGTGAAGGCGTTTGCAGATGGGGCCACCATCAGCAGCTGCATTCTAAGCTAATAGATCCCTGATCCCCGTCATTCAGTCAGAAACAGCATCAGTCTCTGCCACCACTCAGACACCCAAGCTCCCGTTTTAGGTCACAGGGGTGTAGTCCTCAGAGACAATGACATTTGGGTCAGGAGTCCACCAGGTAGGACATGGAGGAGGGTCCTCCAGGCAGAGGGAACAGCATATGCTAAGGCTCCGGGGCCTGAACAGCAGGTCCAAATGTAATGTGGCTGGAGTCTGGTGCAAGCAGACTGAGCAGGCAGCTGTGGCCAGGCTGGGGCGGGCGGAGGAGGGCCTCATGCCGAGCCAATACTGCTATAAGTAGCAGGGAGCCACACAGGCTTTAGAGGAATGTGAAACAATGTGATCCCAGATTTAGGAAGCCAATACAGGCAGCTGTGTGCTGAGGATAAGGGACAGACACTGACGGGACAGAACGCCACTGGGAGACTCCCGAGCTCAACCAACAGGCCACATCCAGAATAAGGCTCAGCCTGGGGGCTCCTGAGATTGACCAGCCAGCCCCCAGCCAGACAGCCTGGAGGCTCCCAATGGCAACCACCATCCAGACATGGACTTAGACATGGACTCGGACCCAGCCTGGAGGCCCCCGAGGTCAACCAGCTGCCCCACCCGGACTCAGTCTGGAGGTTTTCGATGCTGACCAGCCGGCCACACCTGGACTTAGAGTCAGCCTGGAGGTTCCTAGCATCAAGCAGCCACCACACCCAGACAGATTGAAGGCTCCCAAGGTCGACCAGCTTGCTGGACCCAGACTCAGACTTGTCCTGGGGGCTCCCGAGGTCCAGCAGTCTTCTTGGTCCCAAAGCATCTCTCAGGATGGACAAAAGGGTCACCTTATCAACATCATTATCATTTGCAGTGTCACTTGGTTTTTCCCGCTAAATGAGCTCCAATTTTGTTCAGGGTGCCTCGCCCCAAGGTTGGAGATTGTGTCTGGTCTCAGCCAAGTAGAACAATCCTCTTCCTGTTTTCCAGCCTCCCTGGCAGGAAGGAGCAGCCGTGTAACCAGTTCTGGCTCATGAGACCTAAGCGCCTGGGCGCTGCAGGGGCCTCTTGGAGCGTGGTTAACTTTCCTGATCCAGCGGGACGAACAAGGCCAGCGTGGTCTCTCTCCCCTCCCCTCTGCCTGTCTTGAAAGTAAGTGTGACGTCTGGGCCTGCAGCAACCCTTTGCATCCATGAGGCAGAAACTTGAAGACAATCAAAGGAATCTCTGGGATGTTGACCCTAAAATCCTGGCACTGTGGAGCCAGCTCTGCCTACCTCTGGACTTCTCTTTGTGTGGAAAATAAGCCCCTGTTGGAATAAGCCACTGTCTGTTCCCTGCAGCCACGTGCATTTTCAATGGCCACCCTACCCATTTGTGAGTCACTCCGGAGTTGTGACTTGCAGGGTCTGGAGACTGGATGTGGAGGTGACAGAAAGGGCAGCGTCACACATGCCCACTTGTCCCCCACATCCCGACCCGGATGCCTGAGAAGGGGGTAAGGTTGATGGACTCCTTCCGGACTAATTTGAGAGGCCCCTTGGGCACCCAGGAGAGGTTCAGCTGGCCCTGGAGCTCAGCAGGGGCCCCCGGGCTGGAGTGGAAGAGTAAGAACCATCTCCCGGGACAGAGAGCATTCTGGGAGGCGGTGGATGGGGTGCTGAGGACAAGTGTGGCCAGAGACAGCAGATGGCTGAGGAGATGGGGAAAGGAAAGACGGGGCGGCTGAGTCCAGTCTCTTGTGGACAGATGAGGAAATAGGAGCAGTTGTGACGCTGATGTCATAATGATTTCAAAACAGGGCAGGCATTGAGGGAGGCGGGGGCTGCCACAAAGCTAGCTAGGACCTCAGGGGACATCAGTTTCAAAGTCTGCCCCCCCAGCTCAGCCCCTATTTGTCCCCGAGTGACCTGGACTGTCTGCGATCTTGGGCAGGATGCTGGAGGCAGCCACCGGGAGGTGGTTCTGGGTGACCGTGGGCAGGCAGAGGGGATCCCTGCTCCTCCCACTGCAACCTCCCCAGTCACTTTCCACACACCTTTGGGAGAAGCTTCCTCCAGTTTCTCCACGGAGGCTGTGCATTTCACGGGTATTTCATGCGCATTGACAGGAGGGGCAGGAAGGAACCAGAGGGGTAGCAGAGGCCCTGTCCAGGGAGGCAGGCAGGCTGGGCAATGCTGACTACCCTGCCCGGGTCCCGAGCACTCTGGGTGTGCCCGTCACTCCTGCAGAACATGTCACCTTCTTACAGATGTGGAAACTGAGGCACAGGGAGGTGAATGAACTTGCCCGAGTAAGTTGGGAAACGGGGATCTGACCCTCAGTTATCTGGCTCCAGAATTTTCTTCCCAAAACATGGCTGCCCAGCCTCTAGTTCAACGCTCCCAACAGCTCAGTGTGAACTTAGAGAAACCCTTGTTAGCACGGAGCACGCTAGGATGTGAACTCCGCCCTCCTGGCACCTGGGTGAGCAGAGGGGCTACGCGCTAAACCGATAATCCTGTTATTGAAATGGCTCTGGGCACACAGAAGGGAAACACACCAGATGCTGGGCTGCCCCTGGATCCTGGTGGTCACCTGTGCCCTCAAAGCTGCAGAGGGGCCAAGGTCAAGAGAGCATAGTAAGGGGGTCCTTGTGAGATGGGGTCACCTCTCCCAGAGAGAAAGGCTGCAGGGCCATCTGGGGGGCAGAGGAGGCCAGGCTGCCTCAGCTCGAGGTGGTCAGGGAGGGCTTCCCAGAAGTGGCGCCAGCAGTCAGCGGGAAAAGCAGAGGAGTTGACAGTGGGACAATAGGCAGGGGAAACTGAGTCAGAGGCTACAGCCATGCAGGAAGGGACAGGTGTAAGCCAAGGCTAAATGGTTACATTGGCCCCTGACCCCACAGTACAAGAGAGAGAACAAAGTCATCTAATTTTCTCCCTGAGGCTTTATTCTCAGTCCACCTGGCCCGGCCTAAGCAAGCAAAAGCAAACAGCTTTGAGCTAAGACCAAGACCAGCTAGAGACTGGAAAAGAATGATGGGGGAGACTCCCCAGAGGCGAGGGGCTCACCCACAGAAGTTCACACCTCCAGGTGTCTGGAGAAAAGCCTCTCCCTGCTTCTTCATGGATGAAGTGCCCTGGGACTCCACAGGGAACCTCAGGCTCATCTGCATTCCATTGCCCCCCCTCCCCTTGCATTTCAGCCAATGAATAGACCTCCCCTGGCTGAGGCCCTGCCCCCACCGGCGGGCAAGAGCCAAGTCCTGTGCTCTGGGGTCCCCAACCCCTCAGGGCCCAGACCTGGCACTGAGGGAACTTTCAGAACATCCTTGCCAAGAGAGGAGGCCAGGCCTCCTGCCGAGCCCCAGCTCCGAGCCCCAGCTCCCCACCCCAGGCTTGCCACTCGCTCCCCAGGACCCCGCCCTCTTGGGGTCTCGGTTTCCCACCTGTACAGTGACCGGATGGGACTAGAAGGAGCTAAAGACACTGTCCAGCTCAAAGATCCAGTTATGACTTCAATAAATAAGCATTTTTGGAACACCTGGGACTGTCGTGCGTCCTGGGCAGTGATCGGAAGGGACGAAATATCCTTCATGGGTTTGCTTCTAATGGCGCCAGGGGCTGGGGGGACAGAGGAACGGCTGTGGGCAACGGCCCCGGGAAGCCAAGGACTGAAGAGCGACAGCGGGCAAGCGGCCCCGGTGCAAGGAGGGAGGTCAAGGAAGGCTGCTCAGAGGAGGCCACACCAGTGCCCTGCTGAGTGGAGAGGATCAGCCAGGTTCTGCTGAACAGAGGGTGAAGACGCCCCACCCCACCGCCACATGGCGCCCCGAGTCCAGCCCGGACCCCAGACCCCTGCGTTCTGTCCGCATGCCGCCCGCTGCGGTGTGGTCCTGGGTTAGCCGCTCCCCCTCTGGAGCATCAGCTTCCCCTGCAAGCCCAGATCTCCCCGAGACAGTTCTGCGCCTGCATAGCTCCAGCGGATTCAGACTTCAGACGCTGACTCACCCTCGGCCTCTCAGCTTTTGAGATGGATAAGGAACTGCACCTGGGGGGCTGGCCTGCCCCAGGCCCCGGAAAGCGAGGAGGCCCAGGGGCCGCAGCCTGCACTCACCTCTTAGCCCGCAGCTGCTGGGCCGAGGCCATGGCCGATGTGTCTGGGGGCGTGGGCACCAAGGGTCTCAGCAGCCAGGCCCGGGCTGAGTTCAGCTCTCCCTTCCTCCGGCCACCCGGCGTCGGGTCTGTGGTCCCAGGGGTCCCTGCCCCTGATTCACTTCTAGAAGCGGCCCCTCCTCCATGCCCTCACTTCCTCTTCTCCTCCTCCCAGCTGGCAAATGAGGAAGTCCCACCACCGCACTGAGAATGGGAGTTCACCGGCTCTGAGGCTTTGGTGACTTTCTCCAAGCCAGTCTTTGGCGCCAGGTCTCAGCAGGGCATCAGAGGCCCCTCCCATCAAAGACGGATCCCAGTGCCAGCTCAGCCAACCAGGGGCCTTATCTCCTTGGAAGTCACTCCTCGTCCTCTGGTTCATCAGCCCAACCCACACACCCTCACCACTAAGATTTTGCCTAAGTGATTCTCTGGGCCTGGAGTTCTGGTCTGCCTCAGACTCAGCCTGCCTCAGACTCAACTCCTAGGCCGCCTCCTCCAGGAAGCCTCCCTGGTTTCTCCAACAGTTAGTGCTGGCAGGCACTGCTGTCTTGTTAGAGTGGGAAGGTTGGTTTATGCCTCTACCCTCCCCTGACGCGCTAGGCTATATACTTTCTCTGTCCTCTCCTTCGTCATCTGTACAGCAGGATTATTAAAGGGAGTTGCAGGAAGAATTGAGGAAAATGTATGCAAAGTCCCCAGACACGTGGATTTCTCTTTCTCGTCCACAGTTCTGTGCATGTGTCTATGTGTAGCAGGTAAGACACCTCCCCAGGTTTCTGGAGGCCTTGCCATTGCTCCCCCACCCTCTCCACCCAAGCAACCCCGCCACTGACTCAGACACTGAGGGGGGCATTGGCCACAGGGGACCAGCTTGGCTGGGCAGGGCCTCAGACCTAGGTGGGCAGGCTGTTTCTCTCCACCCCCGCTCCCATCCCCCCTGCCTCTCAATCTGCTGAATACGGGTATTTCTCTGGCTCTTCACACGCAGAACAGCAGTGCTGCTAATTTTATGCCAGAGCTCTGATACAGTGTAATTTGAGGCCAGACACTGTCAGCAATCCGCTCTGTTTGCCATGTCTTCACACCCCCCAACACACACACACACACACACACACACACACACACACGCAGGCATGCACAGCTGCTGCTGTTGCAGGGGTGGGGGAGGCATGCAGCAGCAGAGCGGCCGGAAGAAGAGCCAAGCTCTTCACATACTCCATTCAGTAAGTGTTTGCCCAGCTTTCTGAGGAGGTATAAAGAGATGCCTGAAGTGACCCCTACTTTACGGAGAATGAATGCTTGACCACCTCTTCTCCCTGCAGCCAACAGAAACGGTCAACAGGAGTCAACAGAAACGGTCACTGAATGGTACCAACGGGCCCGCATCCCTGCCCCAAGCACATGTATTTTGTTCATGGAGCAAGGGCCTCAGCTATGGCAGTTTGCAGCACACCTGACCCTCGCAGCCTGGGAGTACCAAGCGGCCAGCCAAGAAGATAAGGCCGCTCAGGACAGTGAGAAGCAAATGACCATCAAGGGACATTTTGACAATGACAAAGAAGATGACATGTTAAAAAAAAATAGGCTCAAGAACTCAAAAACAAATGCCAGGGGCCATCAGAGAAGAGCTGGCCTCATCTTAAGGTTTGCAAATGTCTGTCACGGCTGGCCTCTGGGCAAAGGCTCAAGGTGCTCAAACCTGGGAATTCTCGAGCCTGAGAAAAAAACGGATGCAAAGGGCACCCAATGGGCAGCACTTTTCACACCTTGCTCCCTTGTGTGTGAGATAAAACCCAGCCATCTGTAGAGATGAGGAAACCACCTCTGAGCTGCCAGGGGTCAGGTCTGGGGCAGCAGGAAGGGGAATAAAGTCTCAGATGGGCCCACAACCAGGCCTGCACATTCTGCAGGGCCAGGCGACTCCTGGAGCTCATGCGAACTCAGCAGATGCCTGCTGCCAGCAATTGTCCCAGGAAAATCCCAGATTGTACAGAGCAAGATTCCTGGGGATCCCTCGCTCACTGAAGTCCCCAATCCTGACCCACATGTGTCTCTTTTTATAATTTATGAGGGGAGCTTCACTGGACCTCCTCCCTCAGCCATAAATAGCCACTCCTGGCAGGCCCTGGAGCAGTGTTTGAATACAGGGAGAGCATGGGTGAGGTCAGCTAGACAGTAAGGTCCCTAAAGGCAGTGGCCCTGTTCTTCCCCAGGACACGGCTGTGCCGGGGCTGGAACTCAGGGGCCATGGCTGAAGCACGTACTAACTGTGCCACCCCTCTGGCCATCAGTTTCCTTATTTATTTTTCTAAACGGAGTGTAAAATATTTGCCTCATAGCATTACTATATTATTCATCTCTTCAAAATGTATTAACACCTACTATGTGCAAGACACCTACTGTGTGCCCAGCTCTAAATGCAAGTCATTATTCCATGGTACAGACCTTTTGCAGGTGGTTAAATAAGACAGTGAAAGTCAAAGGTAAGCTCAGTTCAATGCCTGGTGCGTAGTATTTAGGTGGTCAGTAAATAACAGGTGTTACTATTATTATTGTTATTGATGATAATTTTATGGTAATTTGATAATTTCTATTGCTATGAAAGATAATTTGCTATTAAGATAATCGCTATTAAGATAAATTTGCTATTAAGATAAATTGCTATTAAGATAATTTCTGTTGGTTCCATCTTGATCTGTCTCCCCCTTGCACACCTTACTTCTCTCACAAAACATGTTAAATTCTACTTTTTTTTCTCATCCACACTCATGGGAATGAGTTTACACTTAATCAAAATGTTGACGGAAATATACCGCCAGGGGGCGCCGCGACTCAGCAGCCAGCTTCCCGCTCTGCAGCGCCACCTACAGGAGGAAACTCATAAACCTCAATGAAAGGGCCAGTCCCGCGAGGTCAAAGAATGAGCCAGTGGGGCAGAGGCGGGCCTGCTGGATCCCACTGCCCTCTGCAGTCAGGTCTGTCAGAGTCTGAGCGGGTCTAAGAGCAGATGCGCCACAGAGGTGAAGAATCCTGCATCTTCTCTCTACTGACCATAAGTAGAGAGATCGATAAGAGCCATTGATGCATGGAGCGTTTACAGAGGAACCACCCCTGCTCTGTAAAATTGCGGGAGGATGTGAGGTTACATTTGCAAAGCCCATAGAACAAGGCCAAGCTCCGTACATGTTGACCTTGATGACCACTACTTGATCCCTATTTGTTCATTTATTATTTCACAAGCATTCATTTGTTAAATGATACAGAGAAGAATCTGGCCCAGTTGTGCCCTCAAGGGAATCACACTCTCAAACTTGCAAGCATATGTACATGCCTTTGCACAAGCATGTGTGCACACATATGCACCAATGCTCACACAGCACACATGTGCACATGCATACACACAAGCACACGTGTGCCATACAAGACTTGCATAGGTGCGTGTACATACACTCACGCCTATATGTACACATGCGTGCCAGTGTGTGCCCACATGCACCTGACATGCATGCACAGGTGTGCTGGCACTACACATACACAGGCTCACACCCGCATGTACACACTTACACACATACATGCAGAATAAAGTACAATTCAGAGAGAAACCAGAGGAAACATGTTAAGAATCCAGATTTCCTGATTCCCAGTCCAGTGCTATCTTCAGCCCCCCAGGGGGCAGACGCAAATATCTCCAGGGCCTAGCAGGTATCTTCACAGTGTCAGTTGGAGCCAGTGTGCAGTGGCAAAGGAAGCCAGGTAAACTGTCTGGAGGTCTGCCTCTCCATGCCAGCACCCCTGGCACAGAACTCCTAGGAGCCAAGAATTCTAAATCTGAATCCTGCCTTCTAGCTCATCAGGAAGCAATATTTGTCAAGGTAGCAGGACAGAATTTGTTTTATTAGCCGTCTGCTGGCTTGATCTATGCTTGGGCCCATGGCAGTTGGGCCTCCATTTGGGCTGTGGCTGTAGTCCTGCAAGTGCTGGGGTCAGCAAGCAGGACAGAGGGACTTGTCGGCCGCAGTAATCAATCTTCTGGTCTCCATCCCAAAAGGAGAGAGACTCTATCAGAACACTCAAAGAGTAACGTAATCTGATTGACTTTAAAAAACCCCTTGTCTGCTGCCTAGATGGCAGGTGGGACCGGAAGTGAGCAGAGAATGTTGCCCTTCTAATAGCCTTCAAATTCAGTGTTTAAAGGTCAGCCTTACCAAGATATAATTCACATAGGATAAAACTCACCAAATTACAGTGCACAGCTTGGTGGGTTTGGACAAGCATGTAACCACCATTGTTACAATGCGGGACATTTCCATTATCCCAAAACCCAGCCCTCATGCCTCTCTGCAGCCAGTCTCCTCCCCACCCCCAACCCCCTCAGCAACCATCGATCTGCTGTCTATCTATTTCTATTCCATTTTGCCCTTTTTGAAATGTCATACAGCTGGAATCACAGAGTGTGAGATCTTTTGTGCCTGACTTTCTCCCCAACATATAATGCTGCTGGAATTCATCCATGCTGGTGTATATATCAGCCACTTACTCTTTTTGTTGCCAAATGATATTCTCTTATATGGTATGCCAATGTGTTATCTATTCACAAGTTGACAGACATTGGTGTTGTTTACAGTTTGGAGATTTTCAAACAAAGCTGCCACCAGCATTTAAGCATAAGAATTCCAGGGACATGTGTTTTCACTTCTGTCAGTCAAATAGAGTAGAATGATGGGTGGCTTGGTAGGTGCATATTTAACTTGATAAGAAAACTGGTTTCCCAAGTTTTTGGACCATTTTGCTTTCCCACCAGGCACTGTGTCAGGAATTGGATGTTCCAAGGTTCCGGGTCCACAGGGTCTCCAGATCCTGGAGGGGGTCTCAGCACAGTCCAAGCCTCAGGGCTGGTTGTTAAACTATCTCTTCCCCACTCCAAAGCTACCCTTCTGTGCTCACCTTTGTTGGGAATCCAAACCAGCTGGGCTTTGCCAGTGGATGCCCATTTGTTTCTTCCAACAGGGGCTGCTAGAAGAACCTGGAAGACTGGGCAATAGGAAACAATCTCTCTACCCTTTATATTTGCTCCCTGTGCCCACAGTGTTGTCCTGGGAGCCTTAGTTGGCCCCAATACCATCAATTCTAATTTCTGTATTTTTTCCTCCCTTCCCAGCCTCACCCCAGCCCTTCCTCAGAGGGCTGAGGCGCCGCATCCCAGCTCCACAGAGCTCCTCTTCTGAGCTTCTAGATT